ATATTTGACCAACCTAATTTAGGCCTTTTAGGCGTGTTTCGGGTACCGAGCTGACAGCAATAACAGATGCCTTACAAACACTCACTGGTTTAGTACCTGTGTATAACTACGATAAATGAAGAGAATGCACAAAAAATATCCCGGTGCCTGAAAGCCTTTTTCGTCAAAAATGTACCACGATCACAATGCAAACCCCGGGTCTGCCTTTGCGCACTTTATTTTGCATTACACTCTCCCCCTGTTGCTTCACTTCAAAGTGGCAAGTTTAGCGCACAGATCGGGCCAATCAGATTGTGGCCTCAAGAGAGGGCTAATATGCCGAGTGGATTTCGGGCAGAACACTAATCACGGTCGGCGGCTTGATCGATATCATCAATCACGCGACTTGTACCGATCGATAGTGCACCGTGGGACGAATAATCAGAACAGCGTGATAACGGGTTGTTAGGCTTGCCCCTAACGTAGTCGAAATTTTTGCAAACGAAATTTGAGTAGTCCGGTTCCTTACTCTCGAAAAATTAGGCATTTTTCAGCTTCGTCGCTTGACAAACCTTAACGCGTGATCATTGTTGCACCTAGAGGTCTCATACCAACCGATTTTATGCCGTTTTTATTATTAGCGGAGCTTTGGCAGGTTTAAATAATTCAATTGATCCACTTAGGGAATATTCGTGGCCTCGGTTGGATTCGAACCCACCTCAGCAGGGAAGGCTTTACAATGGCTCTACCAATTGAGCTACGTAGGCCGCGATGTTGCCGTCTAAGTAAGTCTAAATGTGAGTCCCCAAGGATGAGCACAGCATGTAAAGCGCAAAAGTAGAAGTCATTTAACATACCTAATACAATGTTCTTACGGAAAGCATAGCGTATAGATTGGGCCAATCAGATTGTAGCCTCAAGAGAGGGATACTATGCCGAGTGGCTTTCGGGCAGAACTGAATGATAGGGCAGAACACTAATAATGGATAGTGCACCGTGGGAAGAGTAATCAGGACGGCGTGATAACGGGTTGTTAGGTCGGCCGCT